TCCACGCACATACCAGTGCCTTGGAATCTTCCTCTCCCTACGCTTCAAACCCTTGCCCGATTATCCTCTTCCCATGCCCCACCTACATTGTGCCTCATTGTTTGGGGTTCTGTACCTGGCTTAAACCATAACGGCTAATGTGAAAATTCATCGCTTCCCTTTTTCCCTTAGAATCGCGAAAATAAAACTCCTCTCATCTTTCAAATGTGTACTACCATCTAATCCTAGGGATGATGTTCATGTGTGTATTGGCTGGTATCCCTCGTGGTCAAGCACACAAGCACTCACACGCACACCCTGGTGACCTATATCCGGCCCATCCATACCTTTGGCCTTTAATTTCATAGCTTGCCATCCCGGGTTAACTCTTTGGCTGATTCTAAGTTTTACTCTTCTCACTGACTTCACTTTGACCCGCATGAGCCGCTCCTTGGTGGTGTCTCTTCCTGTTGTTGAATAGTTGTCCTGGCCCCAAGCCAAAACTTTTTGATGTCTTCGCTGATGGTGGAGATGATTACGCTTCACTAAACTCACCTGTAGCTATACATTTTTAGGCGACATTGGGCGAAACGAGAGCACAAATTTGTTTGAATATGTAGATGTGTCATATGAAGGGGGGTTGAGAGGAGGAGATGCAGCACCAGAAGTTAGAACGAAAACTAGGGGCGAGGAGTGATGCCACAACGGTTGAACAGAAAATTAGTCAAAGGTATTGCCTTCACTTGTCACTTTGATAAGTTGTAACTCTGTGCTTACGATGGCGCCTCTCACTGACGATGCAGGCGACACGTTTGGGAATGTACCCAGCCATTGGTCCAATGCTGGAAATCACTAATAATATGACAGAGTACACAGGACTAGATACCTTCCGCAGGGTCTCCCTGCTGCCGTGACCAAGTTGGGAAAACAAAGTCGGATCAACACTATAACCCTAAAGGAGACTACGACCAAACAGAAAACTACACCATCTTGGTCTTCATATTTATGAAAAATAAGTAATGTAATCGATTGCTATTGGAAATATACCGTATTTCCCCATGTATAAGCCACCCTTTTTTTCCAAAATTTCCAAGCCCCAAAAGTAGGAGGGTGGCATATATAAAGCAGGTACACGTTTTATGCGTGAAAAATGCATAAATAATAAATTAGGAATCAACTGGTTTTTCAGCTCCGTCTAACCCTCTTTTTTTTGTTTTTGTCTTCGTGCGACTTGCAAGCATTGTACACAGTGATCGGTTACTGTGTTATTTCGAAACTCCAAAATGGCTGAACAAATAAAGAGACACGCCTACAGTGGAAGCTTTAAGTTAAAAGTCATTAAGTTTGCCAAAGAATTTGGCAATCATGCAGCTGAGCGGGAATTTGGACCTCCACCATATCGGAGGGCAATCATCAGATGGAA